AAAAAAAAAAAAAAAAATAGTACTCCCTAATTGATAAGTTCATCTTTAACCACCTACAAAAAGTAATATATGAACACAAAATATACCCAAAAATTGCAGCAGTTCAATGACCCCAGCAGATAGTAGATAATAGAGCTCAAGCAAGCACTCTCAAGAGCCATGCTCTTAGCTAAGATCTAGAAAAGTATTGTACATGTATATGTGCGGCTAAGTACATACATATGTGTAATAGATATATGTATGTACTACCCATGCATATTGACAAAGTCAGTTAGGGCTCGGCTTGGCTTTTAGCCGTTTGACGTTTTGGCCTAAGTGCTACCAATTGACACAAAGCGCCCAAAGTCAACTGCCAGCTCAGACGACAATGCCGGAACACACACATACACACACACACACACACACACACACACACACACACACACATACATACATACAGAGATGAGCAGTTACAAATAGTGGAGAGAGCATTGTGGCCAAATCGGTTTAGGCCAGCTGAAATAACAGCCCAACAAAGCAAAGCACTAGAAACACGAAACAAAAAAATCGGATGCTAAAGCGACTTGAATCCAATCTAGCACCAACACAATTGAATTTATGTAAGTTGCTGCGCCCAATGGCAGCACGCAAATGATGGACCAACAGATACCCAGCATGCAATGGCAAGCTAAGTTAAAGATTTATCCAATTATATAAATAATATTATTTCATTATTATCATCATTTATTCAACATCAATATATACAACTTCTATGCTCAGGTCGGGCAGAGCCAGCTCGCAGCTTGCTTTACAGGGTATAGCAAATCGCAATTGTTAACTATGACACTGGGAGAGGTGCTGCTGGCGCTGGAGCTTTCGGTAATTATTTTGCCACTAGTTCAAGTGTTCTCAACACTTTCGGCCAACTATCGGCAGCGTCGACTCTCCACGGACTCTGGCCAAATGTATTTGGCGGCCAGGCCAAGACGAGAACGTGGGAGGGGTGGGGGGTCATGAAGCCAGGGAGCTGCAACGCCCTGGGGCAACATAATGCGATTGCCACGTTTTGGACTCGCACCACACCGCCCCGCACCGTCCCGTACCACCCGTCTCGCCCTGCCCTGCCCTGCCCTATCCGGCCCGTCCCGTCATCAGCAAATGCAACGGCTAACATATTTCAAAGCCCCGCCAGCCCTCCAGCTGAAAATCCCGTTCTTTTGGCTATGGCATGCGTTTGTTTGCCAACTTGATGAACTATGTGCTGGATGCTCCATGCTGATTTTCCTCTTCTTAGCTGCCGCTCGGCTGGCTTTGGCATAGTTCAGCTACCAGCACTCAGCAATGAGCACAAACATTTTCTATAAAAATACGTATGTAT